AGGGGGGCCTCAGAGCAGGTGAATTTCAGGGGCCTTGGCTTGCGAGTCTATTGCTGAAAGTAGATGTAAAATCCCAAGAGACCCCGTGTCCCTAGGGTCGAGGTGGTGGTGGAGAGTAGACCTGTGACGTGTTCTGTCTGCCGCCTCTCTCACTCCCTCTAAGATGTGTCCTTTTATGCGGCGGCTTCCTTTGAGGGCGGGCACTGAAGGAGGACGGCAGCTGCTGGGGACAGAGGTTGTTGTTTACAGTCAATACTCATGTATGACTTCCAGAAGTTTTGCATTCCACGAATCTGGCTGCACTCTGGGGTCAAAACTTTCCCAGCCAGTTTTACTAAGCAAATTTCCTATTACAGGAATTCCTTTTGCAGTGGTTTCCGAAAGCACTTCTACCAGATTCTTTAAGATTACTTGAATTAGTTTCTGGTAAATTTCTTGTGACCACACCGATGTGTGGAGTGACATGCACGCTATGGTTATTATTGTTTGTTTCTACCGCAATTGCCTTCAGTTTACCACGGGGTCTTGCTTAATCTCTAATTTCTTTGTAATAATTCCCTTCCATGTTGATATTGCTATCTCCTTCTTATTTTACTTACCCTCTAGTTTCTCCAAATATTATAGTCTCTGAGTCCTAGTGTTATATAGTCTACGGAGAGACACAGTTTGGATTCAGTGGACATCGCATCTGGTTGATTAATTTCAACTATTTTACCTGTTTCTAGTAACTCCGAAGGTGAATGATTTATGTTTGTATAATCAATTTCTATAAAACATTTCGGTATATAGATATGTAAACACATGCGCACACCCACACACACACACATATATATACATACATACATATATATATATATATGTATGTATGTATTCTAACATACATATACACACATACCCAAACAAACATTGGCCTTGCAACCAAAGACGGAGGAAAAATGATATAGAAATTGTTTAAACACACACACACACACACACACACACACACACACACACACACACACACACACATATACATATATATATATATATATATATATATATATATATATGTATGTATGTATGTATGTATGTATATGTATGTATACAAATTACTGCTACTGCATACCATGTGCTTGTGGCCCATGTGTTTTCATCCGCAATGTAATATACCCACTGCTAACCATTGCCTGACACCGTTAATGAAGGGACAAGGCCACGCCTCGCGACGCAATCAGTTACCCAATACCAGTGCATGTCCACGCGGTGAGTCCCACGCCCGGCGCGCGCCTCACTCGCCTCGCCTTAACCGGAAAAATAGGAGCCACTTTTCGGAAATCCAAGTAATTTCGTTCATAATGTTGAATGAGTAAAATGGCATATAACTGAAGGTGTAGGGTATTCCTTGCGTGAGATTACGCATGAGTGGAGGAAAGGAAAAGGAGAGATAAGAGGAGGAGGAGAAATGGAAGGTGGAGGATGGAGGAGGTGGACGAATGGAGGAGTGGAAAATGGAGAAGGTGGAGGAATTGAGGGATAGATAATGGAAGTGGTGAAAGGACGAAAAGGGAGGGGGGGGAAAAGAGGTGGAAAAGCGAAGATGGGGATGATGAGGGAAGTGGAAGAACGAGGAGTGAATAATGAAGTAGGTGAACGAATGGATGGGTGGAAAACGGAGGTGGAGGAACGAAGGAGTGGAGAATGGAGTAGGTGGAAGAACGTGGAGTGATGAATGGAGGAGGTGGAGGTATGGAGGGATGGAGAACGGAGGAGGTGGAGGAATGGAGGATGGAGAATTAAGTAGATCATTTAAAGGGGAGAGAATGGAGGAGGTGAAAGAACAAAAGGGTGGAAAATAGAAAGAAGAGGAGAAAAGGTGGTTGAGGAAGAATGGAGGCGCAAGAGAATGAGGGAGACTGGAAAGAAGCGTAGATAGGTAAAGAGGAAGAGAGAAGGCAAGGGAAGAAGAGCATACATGTAAGAAGGCGGCAATTACAAATAATTCGTGGAAAAAATTAAACTCTTGTCAGACAATGTGAGAGGTATTTGCGGAGGAAAATCTGTGGAATATTTTGGGGTCATTCTAGTAAATTTTTATTTATTTTTTGTCTTATTAGAAATAAAGGAAGCATCACTACCCTTCCCAAAATTCACGTTAATCGCAGTAGTTGTGCAATCTGTGTCAATAGTACTTCCAGATTAGTTTAAGCACATAGTTCTTTAAACATGCACAAGAGTGAAGGCTGGACATAATATGTAAAACATCATGTCAAATAATTGTTCATTTAATACTAATATTAAGAAAGAGGAAATCAAATGCAAGGTAAATGAATTTGACCTTATTAAAAATAAGTTTAAACTAGTTAAAAAATGCACATAGAACATTAACTTTGGAAGGGGACACACAACTCCTACACACACACAACTCCAGCTCTGTCGACACTATTTTTACATGCATCATCCTTGGCGGATATTTGTACTCCAGTGTTGTGCGGTGCAGTGGTAGCGGTCTCGTCTGGCAATCTTGCTGACCCGCGTTCCAATCCCGCACGCTGCCAGTGGATGGTAATCCCGGCCATTCCTTGCACACAGGGGGTAAGTTGGAAGCAAAAGGAAACAGACAACTTGTCGCACCAAGAATAACAAGTGCAACAAATAGAATATACCTAAACTTTACTGATTGTCAGGCAGGGAGGGAAAAGGATCAGCAATGCGGTGGCGTGATTCTACATCATTGCAATGAAAGATTGGTATGACAATTGTACTGCAGCCGACCCCTGCAACCTGCAGCATGGCATACTTCCCTCAGGTTGGGTCCAGGTCCAACCTGAGAACGGACAGCTCCCGGCTCGCTCATTGGACCGCTGGCTCCCCTCGCTCCCGGTAGGTGACACAGCTTAGCAGTACTTAGGCACCAGCGCCCGGGCCGAGATCAGCACCCACCGATCCTCCAGCAGAGCCAGACACAGCAAGCAGCTCCAGGCCTTAGCCGACGGGGAGCTTCGACGGCTTGCCCCGTCGATCTCCAGCTACACCTCTAACACCCAGTCGTACCTGTGGGCACTCGCACCCACATCACTCACTCCTGAAAGAGATGATAGACACCAGTCAAATGGCGATGGAAATCCATCGCCATAGTACAACTATAGAATAGATTATTCGCCGCAAACCAGAATTAGAAAAAATGTCCGGTTATCTAAGATAAGAATATAATTATTTCTTATATATGTCAGAATCCCATTCATTTGATAACAATAGATTTTTAAAAATAATAATATTTCAAACCTCAGAAAAGCAAACCTTTATCTACATTATACTGGACATGTAGTATATCGTTTTATTCTTTGTTGTGAATAAAATATGACTTTAAGAAATTAACAAATTCGATACTCAAAGGCAGTAGGTGGAACAGTGGGGCATTTTTTTTTTTTTTCTTTTTTTTTACCTTAAATGCGACCTTGGCCTTTGACATGAAGACATGGGTCAACTCCAAGGAACGCCAAAATAGGATGCATGTATTCAACGAACATATTAAGTAAAGTGGGCTTATTAAATCATGCAATATCAAAATTAAGAGATGGTGAGATCATGGAAGTCGAGGAGTGGGAGAGATCAAATAGAAAGTTCGCAATAGACAGAACCAAATGAACAAGAAGGTAAAAGTCAGGATGGACTGAAGGAAAAAAATCAGGAAGGACAAGAAGGTCAGAATAAGTGCACTGTCTACTTGTATCAGTTCGAACTGTATGACCTAAAGTCAGTCTACTGTATTGCACCGGACATATCTAGCGTTGATATCTCGCACTGTTCGACAAACAATCGATGAATGATTGAAGAGGTTAAGTGTAACTGAAAATAGCATCCATCGGCTGCAAGTAACCATTTTGACAGAAAATGTGTAAACCAGAATAAGTTGTTTTAATAAATGTAATTCGCACAGTTGGACGCGTTGTTCCAACACTACACGATTTGGCATGCACTTAGAACTCAGTGTAGAGAGAGAGATGAATGAAAAATTCTCTCATATTAAATAAGCCCATCGCAAATTAACATTAAGTACATTGTACCTGTTAGTGACCAACTCATTTGTGTGTGTATACAATATATGAGAGAGAGAGAGAGAGAGAGAGAGAGAGAGAGAGAGAGAGAGAGAGAGAGAGAGAGAGAGAGAGAGAGAGAGAGAGAGAGAGAGAGAGAGAGAGAGAGAGAGAGAGAGAGAGAGAGAGAGAGAGAGAGAGAGAGAGAGAGAGAGAGAGAGAGAATCATTCTGGATGTGCAAGTGAATGCAGATCAATACTGTAATCTAACTAGTTGGTGCCTGGCCATGGTTAACAGATAAACCAAGCTTCACCCACGAAAACAACCTCCAGCAGAGACAGCGATTATAAACACAAGGCAAATATGAAATATGTAAGCATGGCAAACACAAATTTTCATGTAAAATAAGCATGTAGGATTAATGCAATATAAACATAAAACACGCAACAAGTAGAATGTTCAGCCTAAAACTGGTTCTCACTCTTTTCACTTCCTGGCTGCCGCTATGAATCGATCCTTCGCTGCGCTGCCCCCTTGCATCTAGTGATAACATTACCTCCCAGATCTCAAAGATAAAGATAAATGTGTGGGAGACGGGTAGTAACTCCTCTGTGGCTTTTGAGGGTAGGAGGTCAATGAACACGAAATTATAAGCCTAAGCGACATATGGCCTCCAGGAAAATAAAAGGAGTAAAATAAGGCAGTAATTTGATATTTCTCATAATTTCTCAATAAAATCCAAGGTCTTGTTAAAAGAATAACAAATATTGTTTTAAAAAATCCTACTTTCCTTCCTCAAGGATATGCTGACATACATGTTAACGTAAAACAAGCAGGAAGTACCATAACCAAATTGAAACAAAAAACTAATATGAAATCTGAAATGGAGAAAACATGAATAACGAAAAGGACAAGGACCGTGGAATTTAAACGTCAAGAGTCATGACTCATAGTTCTTTCTTCTTCTGTAGGGTTTTAGACCAATGACTCATAATTCTTGACGCTCAGAAGCCCATGACACACGACTGCCTGCCGACCCGGGTGACTCTGCGCTGGAGAGTAAGCGACCTCGTAATGAAAACATCGGGACTGGAGGAGGTGCAGTGACGTCCGCCGCTCAAATTTAGCTAAATGTAGGTGTTATTAAAGAGTATCACCGCTCGAAGATATAAACTGTAGCTGTGGGTGTGATTTTTCGTTTATGATAATTGCAAAATGTCAGGTGACGATAGGTATTTCTTATATGCCTTGGAGAGTCAGCATTACATGGCATTAATGAGTGTGATTAACCCTCGGGTGTGACAGGAGTATTTAGTATGTCAGTTGATTGATATCTATCTACCAAATCTTCCGAAAACGTAGATTACATACTCAGATAGGGTATATAACGTCTATCCACAGTGTCTTATGATGTATTGATTATGTTATTTCCCTATGAGGATAAGTTCAGCGTTATTAACCCATTGATACAGGATACATGCACTGTTCACTGTAGTTTTGTTTAGCTTTTTTCAAGTGTCTAGTCTAATGAGTGAATTACAAGAACTACTTGACTTCACATGTTTATCCTCTCCCATTCTTTGAAATTTTATGAAAAGGGATCTCTTGTGATACTGTTATTGTTATTATTAAAGTAATTATTATTGATGACAATGTTATTATGGAATAGTTTCAGTTTCACATGGCCATCTATTAGAAAGTAGATTTAGCATGTAATGAATAGGATGACTGAAACTAAGGAGATGACTGAAACTAAGGAATA